ATAATTTATTAGATTGATCTTTAAAAAATTCTACCATGGCTAAATGTCATAAGAAAAAAAAAAAAGTCTTTCTAAACTTATTTAAAGGGTTCTACTGGAGGAGGCCAGTTACCTGCTTCACTGCTGATATTCTAAAAATACCTCCATGTCCATACTATTATCCATTCTTCACGTCCAATTGCTCTGTTATGGTAATAGTCAGAAGCACACCATGCAGTAATTACTTACAGCTGACTGAAGAAAAGAATATTCAACTCCCCCACTGTTCCACTAGAAGGTCTTTATGCACTATTAACTCATTCCTGTTTATTAATACTCTACTGGTAATTCAGACTGCTGCCTCTTAGGTCTATAATAGGAGGACTATTAAACAGCAATTACTGACCATATGGGTTGGTGAATTTTTGTTGTTTTTTTGGTAGGCTTCTTTTTTTTTCCCCCTTCCTTCTAACTTGTCTTTTAAGAAGACATATTACAAGATAGTAAAACTATTATCATGTCTGCATGAGATTAACTTGTTTGGCAGTATTTCTCCCTGAGAAAATGTGTATTTATTCCCAGATTATTGCTGTTAGTTTCAGGAAAAAGAGATCATGGAAGGAACAGAAAAATGTGGAAGGCTGTTCCCATGTGGGAATACCCCTACTTTGGGAGATAGTTTGAATCTTACATTCCGTAAGTCACCCACTAGGCTGTTTTCTTTTACTGACCAAGAGGGCCTTGAGCCACCCTCAGCTGCTCCTGACTTCGAAAAGCAAGCATATTTATTGGGAAAAACAAACCTAATACTGCTTCGCATTTTTAAGTTCCCCCAAGCACTTGGAAGTGGTCACTTTAAAATGGAAGATTTACTAAATTCATCTCTCAAAGAGCAGGTATGTGAACCCTGGGAGATGAGGAAGGGCCCCTCCTGGGAGAGGGATGGCATGAGTAATGGGTTCAAGTGAGGCAAGCAGGTGGTAAACGATGATTATGGTAATAATAATGTGTGCCTCTCTCCCAGGTAGTGAGCACTAAGCATGTTTTGAGCATTAAACACATTGAAATGGAGATATATCTTTGGGATAAACAGTAGCCCAGGAACTAATTCCATTAAAAAATGATGGGTTGAGGTCCAGAACAGGTAAACCTCCTGATGCAGCCTCCACCAGGGTGGTGTCCGAGGCTGGGTGTCTAGGCTTTCTGATGGAGCAAGCTTTTACTCAAAGCAGCTAGTCTCCTCAGTACTCCTTGTACTTGTCTTTCACTTGCTCCCCTTTTCCCATAGGGGTCATTCTTTCTTTTTGTCCAAATCTCACTACCACTTCATATTAACAAGTCAACACCACCACACCCCCAAAAAAAACCCAAAAAAAAACAAAAAAAACTACAGCTTACCCTGATCTTGCTCTCTCCAAACTGTCAGAAAAATTTAGCATTGGTACCATGCCTCTGGCAGGTGGTTGTAGCTAATTTAGCACTCTTCCTTTGTTACCTGCTGGTATTGTATGTGTAAGGTTTTTCCCTCCCAGGTCCATTCTAAATCCTTGAAGACAGGGGCCATATCTTTTAAACTTCTCTTCTCTTTATTTCTGTATCTAGTTCGGTAAAGGACATTCAGTATTAAACAGAGGTTGAAAGAATTCAATGGCCATAAGTAGAGGGAAAAATTACAAAAGTTTCTAAGTTTTCTTACTCTATGGAGTTATAAGAGCTGCAGTTTCTGGGCTAAGTATAAAAAATAATAACAATGGAAATCAAACAACAACAAAATGACAAATCTCAGCCCCAGCTTGGCAGTACAACGCTAATACAAAGCCTATACATGATGTTTGATGACCATCTGTTAATTTGTTGAATGGAATTAAACTTGTTGGGTCAGACCCTTGTAAGATCCCAGAGCTTTTTCACAGTGGATCTAAGCCATAGGGAAATTTGCAAGAAATTTATTTTATCTATGCCCTCCTGATTTAATCCAGAATCCAGGGTTGCTTATGACCTAGTGGGATCTTATAGGGGAGGAGGGATTCATCTAAGAGTCTCTGTGGTAGGCACCTCCGATACTGCAGGTCTATCTCCAAAAAAGACTGATCCCAGGATAGATCAGAACTATCTGATGTGATTTGAAAGGCACCATGAGGGCCCGTCTGCCCCAAACATCTCAGATTGAAGGAGCTGGCAGCTGACTAGAGACTAGCTACTCCAGTAGATCTCAAACATTATTTTGTTTTTATTATTACTGTTTTTGTAGTAGAATGGTTTCTCAGTTAAGGACTATGCAGAATTATATAGCAGATTATATTAAAGTCACTCCGATTGAAGTTGGGTTGGAAGGCATGGTTGCCTAATCTGCTAACTCAGTTGATAAAGTCAAGAAGCACTTCTGAGAGACCCCAGTGTTCCTGGACACACTATATTAAAAACATTTTTCTGGTCTGACCTCCTTTTGATACAAATTTATAGAAAACATGCATAATCTCAAATCCATGCAACTAACAGCAGAATTGTCCCTAGAATCCAATCTTTGTTTTTTCTTCCAACTTTATAGTGATATAATCCATAAATTAAAAAGTGAATATATTTAAGGTATATAATGTGATGTTTTGAAATACATATACATTGTGAAAAAATCACCACAAGCTAATTAACATATATACCACCTCACAGTTACTTTGAATTTTGTGGTGAGAACACTTAGAATCTACTCCCTTGGCAAATGTCAAGTGTACAATACATTATCATCAACCAGAGTCACCATGTTATGAATTAGATACCTAGAAACTCATTCATCCTATAACTAAATTTCTATACTTCGATCGCCATCTCTCCCTTTTCTCCATCTCTGGCTTCTGATAATCACTGCTGTGGTTTGAATGTCTCTCTCAAGGTTCATGTGCTGGAAATCCTCAGTGCAGCAGTATTGGGAGGTAGGACTTACTAAGAGGTGATGAGGTCATGAGGAATGATTAATGTCATCATCACAGGAGTAAGCTAGTAATCTCAAAAATGGGCTGTGATTGTGAATAATCAATCTTTATCTTTTGTTAATTAGCTAAGCTTTTATCTGTATCACCTATATGTGATAGTAAATTAAGTCATTGTCACCAAAAAGTCACTGTTAATAGGTATGTATGTGATGTAGGAGAATCAAGCCTTCCCCATAACAGAGCTGAGGTAAGTGTGAGATCTGAAGAAACGAATTAGCTGGACAGTGTCTTGATCTTCTCAGGCTGCTATGACAAAATACCATAGACCAAGTGGCTTAAAAAACAGCTATTTATTTTCCACAATTATGGAGCCTGAAAAAGTAGAAGATCAAGGTGCCAGTGGATTTAGTCCTTGGTGAGGGTTTTCTTCCCGGTTGACAGACATAGTTATCTCATTGTGTCCTTTCCATGGTACATTTACTTGGAGAGAAAAGAAGAAAGAAATTTTGTGTCTTTTCCTGTTTTTATAAGGATATTAATCTCCTCATGAAGGTCCCACCCTCATGACCTTGTCTAACCCTAATCACCTCTCAAAGGCTTTGCCTCCAAATACCATCACATTGGGGATTAGTGTGGCCAAGTCCCAGCGCTAGTTGCAGGTGTACTTGGTGTTCTGTGCTTGCTTAGATCTGGGTCACTTATTTACACCATTTCAATCTTACCTTAGTCTAGAGAAGTCACCACAGGAACTTCGTTATGGGGCTGGAAATTAAGCTTCTCCTATACACAGCATAATATACATCATGGTACATCTTTTTATGGCATTTAAAAGTTTTTTGGGAGGAAAATCATCATTTTGTATATCATCCTTTTATTCTTTCACTAATAGAGGCAGCAGGATAGAGTATGCAAGATATAGTACATGATATAAGTTCGTAAGGTATCTGTATTCTAGACCAGATCTTTGTACCAATTAGCTGTGTGTCTTGGGGGAATATTATTTAACCTTTATATATTCCCACATATTGAGCTGTGAAATAAAGCCCTCTGGCCCAGATTTCCTTCTGAATTGTATTTGATTTTTTTGGGCCATCAAAAATATTGAATATTCTCTAGATAGTAACTTTGAGTTGTTACATTAAAAAAATATTATAGATAGTATGCTATACATAAGATGCTCCTATCTGCCAAGAATTATAATTAGGCTGCATGACAAAAACATTTATTTCTGATATCAGTAAAAACTTGAGATAATTCAGTAAAGATGGTATTAAGCCTTGTAAATATCATCCAACTGTGACTTGAAACTGTGGAACTTTCCCCTTGGGTGAGAACATCTGGGCAGTCTGCAGGCTTGATTTCAGAGATTCACTTATTCAATACACACTTGCTTTGTTTCTTCCATATTTCATTATTCAATAAGTAAACATATACTGAGTGGATTCCATTGATTCTTTTGATAAATATGTTATGAAATGGATTTTAAGGAGTAGCCTGCTATATACATAATACCGTTTTGTTGTTTATAATAATGTTAATAAGAAGACAAGTCCCTAACTGTAAAGAGTTAATAATATAATCGGATAGGGTAAAGGTACTACTGCCCCTCCATATCAATGAGTTGTACAAATGCAGATTCTACCAACAGAGGATTGAAAATAGTTTAGAAAAATAAATAAATAAATGCAACAATTGGAAATTAGAAATAAAAGACAGTATAGCCACTATTTATATAGTATTTTCATTGTATTGCATATTATAACTAACCTAGAGATGATTTAAAGTGAACAGGACAGTGATGGTATGGAATCTTCCATTTTGGAGCAATGTTCAGAGTCAGATAAAGAATTGTGGCCTCTTTTTCTTTTCTGTTTACTTTTTTTTTCTTTTTAAGGTGTTTTTCTCAGTGTTAATGTTTTAATTGGTGAAATCACAGAAGAGTCCTAGAGATCAAAGAAAGGAAAAAAGGACAGGGTAGAAAAGCAGGAGAATGAAAAATTATCAGAAAACAAGACTGAGAAGGTAGGGCTGGATATAGAGATCGGATTGAGCATTAATTGTGTTCACTTTAATTTTTAATTTCTCTTTCTCTAGGCACTGTGGATTAGCTTGCAAAGGTCTGGAGAAAAATTTTAGAGAGAGAATGAAGAAAAAAATGGGGAGAAGATAGAAGCAGAGAATTAGAGAAGAGCAAAGATGAAGAGAAACACAGAACGCTTGTTCAAAGAGGTAGAAGAGAAGAGGAAATAATTCAAAATGATTACCTGATGGGTTTGTAGTTAAATTTATGAATTTAGGTGTGCAAAAAAACTAACTGCAGGGCTATCAGGGGCATGGTAATTAAGGTGCTGGACTCCCACATGACTGACAACAGTCTGAGTCCCAGACCTGGTGGCTTACTTTCTCACTTTCTGGTGAGTGCATATGCTCTATCGCAAAAAGAATTTAAGAAATAATAATAATAAATAAAACTAAAAAATATTTTTTTTAAAAAAAATCTAGCTTCTTTTACATAAATTATTGTCCTTTTGTTTCAAGATCCTATTCTCCAGGGTGCAGACATGTAATCATGGTCATTTCAGCTTCCTTCCATCAAATCCCTGGATCCGTCTCTTTTCTGGGGCTTATGAAGGTGATGGTGATGAATGAAAGGGGCAGAGCATCTGCCCTCGAATGACTTTTGTTCAGTGTGGCATAAGCCAATCTTTCCACAGTCACCAAACTCCTCATTGTTCCCTACCAGGTGTTCAGATCCTCCTAGGATCCCCCTCTGTGTTCTTTCTTCTCTT